TCGTCATTTTGAAAATTTTGAGGCTTAGGTTTCGTCTTTCGTCATCAAGCATAAAAGGTTTCGTCTAACAACTATAGCCGCAGTTCTTTTTTACAGATGACTAAATTTTGAACGAAGATTACTTGGCATTTATCTGATCAAATTCGATCAAATTTTTTTTATTTTAATTCTATGAGATTATAGAATTAAAATAAAAAAATTCGATCGAATTTAGTCAGGCAAAAGTGCCAAGTAATCTTCGTTCAAAATTTAGTCATCTGTAAAAAAGAAGCTGCGGCTAAATTTTGGTTTAACTTTTAATCAATACTTCTCAACAACTACCTATTTAGATTAAATTAAAATTATTTTTTATTTCAATTCTAAATATGCGCAGAATTAAATAAAAAAATTTCATGAAATTTAACTGGATAGTTATTGAGAAATCATCGTTTAAAGGTTTTTAAGAAAAAAGAATATTGCAATGAATTTTTTGCTTAAACTTTAAACGATGATTTCTCAATAATGCTCTATCATAATTTAATGAAAATTATTTTATTTTTAATTTTGCAAATATATAGAATTAAAATAAAAAAAAATTTTATTGAATTTAAATAGGTAGTTGTTGAGAAGTATTGATTAAAAGTTAAAACTAAATTTAGCCGCAGCTTCTTTTTTACAGATGACTAAATTTTGAACAAAGATTACTTGGCATTTATCCGATCAAATTCGATCAAATTTTTTTTTTTTTTAAGTCTATAATCTCATAGAATTAAAATAAAAAAAATTGATCAAATTAGATAAATGCCAAGTAATCTTCGTTCAAAATTTAGCCACCTGTAAAGAAGTAGCTGCGGCTATTTTTTATTTTTTTTTTAACTTTAAATCAATATTTCTCAACAACTACCAACTCAAGTTCAATAAAATTATTTATTTTAATTCTAAAACTCATAGTATTAAAATAAAAATAATAAAAAATCTTTAAATTTGAATGGATAGTTATTGAGAAATTATTATTTAAAGTTTGAAAATGAAAAATTTACCCGATTTTCAATACTCAAGTTTTTTTTAAAACTTCTAGCAAAGGTTTCTCAATAACTACCGAACCAAATTTAATAAACTTTTTTATTTTAATTTTGAGAAAGTATATAATTAAAATTAAAAAGTTTTTACTAAATTTGTTCATGTAGTTATTGAGAAACCTTCGCTAGAAGATTAGTAAATTCGGAGATCGATCTAATTCTGGTCAAATTTGCAAATTATTTGGCCGGGTTTTAATACTAGTCTCCCGAGGCCAAATAATCTGCAAATTTGACCAGAGTTAGATTGTTTTGATAAAAATCGGCATGCATGATCTCATATAAAAATAAAAATAAACAGGTGATCTCATTTTTTTAAGCATAGATGTATGTACATACGTACAAGATGCCTTTAATGAAAAAAAACTCTGACTATATTAAGAAATTTTTTGATATATATGATATCAAACGAATGACGCCGCTTGAATATTTATGTTGGAAATATTCAGAGACAAAGAAATTATACACCACTTTGGAATCTGAAAAAACTGATTATATTAACTTTATAAATGACAAGTTGGATAAAGAATCAATTAAACATCATAAAACGGTATTATTTTAATATATTTTGGAATTTTTGTTACAACAACTTAGTGCACTTGATTCGATAAGAGTTGTATAACAATAGTACACGAATTAGATACATGCGATCACTGATAATATGGGATGGTATCAACCATGTGTGAGCCTAATTGTATCTATTCGTTGTACTAGGGTGAATTATTGATAGCAACAAGTGTTCTTCTCCGGTACTTCTCACTTTACCGACAATCATTTCACCAAAAGTTCACTTAGCCGACATCACATAAGGTTAGGATTAGTGTTTTATTAGTTGCAAGTTTATATTTTTAGTAAATTGTCACTTGGTGTGATGTCGGCTAAGTGAGCTGTCGGTGAAATGATTGTCGGTGAAGTAAGGCGGATCCGTTCTTCTCGATACCAGATGGAGTTCTATGTGTTGCCAATTCGTTATAACAACTTAGTGTACTTGAATAATTCGGTAGAAAGTTGTATAACTTTTGCACTTGAATTATTTAATAAAAATTGTATACATGCGATCACCGATAATATGGGATGGTATCTACCATGTGTGGGTCTAATTGTATCTATTAGTTGTACTAGGGTGAATTATTGGTGTCAACAAGTGTTCTTCTCGATACCAGATGAAATTCTACGTGTTGTCGATTTATTTTTCATTTGTTATAACAACTTTGTGTACTTGAATAATTCGATAAAAAATTGTATAACAATAGTATACAAATTAGACACATGCGATCACCAATAATATGGGATAGTATCAACCATGTGTGGGCCTAATTGTATCTATTCATTGTACTAGGGTGAATTATTGATAGAAACAAGTGTTCTTCTCGATACTAGATGAAGTCCTATGTGCTGCCAATTCATTTTTCATTTGTTATGACAATGATATGCACATGATTTTTGTTATTATCATTTATATGGATTGTGTATTACATAAATTAGTAACACTAATCTACGTAACGCAGTACTGCAGTAGCGATACGTAGTTTTTTTCCTTTGTGCACTTCTATTAGGGTAGCGATAGTTTTTTTTCCTTTACAGATGTCCTTGGGCACTTCTATTAGGGTAGCAATAGGTTTTATTTTAATACTCAAAGAAAAAATAATACTCTATATAACTATATAAAGTTAAATACTGACTACGTAATTGCCAATTATTAGATGTTTAAGAATTTTTCATTTTTTTTTGGAATTAAAGAAGAGTTCGTTTACAAAGTTTGCTAAGTATATTATTTCAACACTTGAAGAAAAAAAATGATCACTTGTAAGTGTAGTTGTTAGACAAAACCTCGAGGTTTCGCGCAGTAGGGCAAAAAGGGGAGTTCTGGCACACTTTTTCGGTACCCTGGGTACTAAAGTATTCATTTTGCTTTTTAGA